TGTTAGTGGTACAACAGGGTGTTATGTTGGTGGTACAGCCTGAGAACTGTTATGTTAGTGGTACAGCCAGGGTGTTATGTTGTTAGTACAGCCAGGGGTGTTATGTTGTGGTACAGCCAGGGTGTTATGTTAGTGGTACAGCCAGGGTGTTATGTTAGTGGTACAGCCAGGGTGTTATGTTAGTGGTACAGCCAGGGTGTTATGTTAAGTTACAGAATTTGTGTAAAGTGATCCCCCAAAATAGTTTTGTCCATGTTTGTTTAAATTTGCTAAGAATTATTAGTGAATTGTATTATTTTGCATACAAACATTAATGGAATCGTATATTGATACTGTATATGGTAATAGTTGTCAAGAGAATTGAGGAGGTTTTAGCAATCATTCATACTGTGGTCCTCCAGTCTGTTTTTTCACTAGTGAATTGTATTGTAAAAGTTTAATTAACATTAAATTCGTTTTTATTTTAGAAAAATTTAGTTTTGGGTTGAAACGAGCTGTGAAAAGTCACACCACGGAATGCAACTCTTTATTATTGGTATATTTTTAATGGCAAAGATTTGCAATTTGTAATTCGAGGCTTTAATTTTCAGTACCGTTACAAAATGCTATTTTGGCGCGGAAGTAAAACGCGTTGGTGGGACGCGACCGTAAAGTTAAATTAGAAGGACGAAGTAAATGTACCGATTAATTTGAATAGTGATAAAGGGGCTAGAGGCATACAGTACAGGTGGGTTATATCTTCTGAGTGCTTTGGGTCACAAGGGTCTTGGATTTTGGATATTTTTGTCTCTGGTGTGGAGCAGCCCATGTGTTGCCCTGTACCGTGCCGTACACGTTTGACCCGAATGTTTTTTTAAATTGTCCCGAAAGTGATGAAATTAGCATAAAATAATTACTATCATGAATGGTGTAAATTTTGTGAATGTTTGCAGTCATTGCCTATAATCCATTCATCATTTTATAGACTTTTTTCAAAAACTTGTGGGTATTTCTACAACCTCCAGATGAACGCAGAAAAGTAATAACTAATTGTGTAGTTTTGCTCAAATTTTTTGAGGATAATGGTATGTTTATTATTTATCCAATTATATATTGCCATTGATATTTTTCGTAGGCAAATATTACAAATTGCGCGAATACGGGAAATAAACACGGCAATATAATGGAATATTGTTAAACTGGGTAATACGAGATCATTGTATCATAACCTTTGACATGTAATATTGATATAATTTTACTTAGAGTATCATAAATGGCAATAAATAATGTGTTAAAATGTGAGCACTTATAAGTAATGTAAGGAATTAATTTTCATGTTTATATTAGTGGGAGATTTGCAAAGGTTATATACAGTATTAGCATAATTGTTGAAAAAATGAAACGTCCAGTCTGTTGAACGTGACGTAGCTCTAGACATTCATTTACTGGATAGCACAAAGGAATTAGCATAAAATGTGTGAAATATGGCAAGAAATCCTAGATTGTAGCATAATGTTGAAAATTTTTGACGACCCTTTTCGACAGAAAGGTCCGTCCGATCACCGTAAAATGGGTATTTGTGGGGGGAAAAAATTGTGACTCGGTAATTTGTGATAAGAGGGGCCCAAATTGTGAAGGTGTTTAACTTAGTTTGAAATTGGAGAAAATGGAGTAATAGTTTAGTTATAGGCTTTAATATTTGTTCTTTATGGCACAAATAAAATGCATTTTTGTGGATAGTTTGAAATACATCCATCAAATGTGATAGTTTTGGCAGGAAGCATTTGTGGTTTTGTTTTTTATTAATAAAATGCGAGGACCTTTATTAGTGTAAATTTTTATTCCGATTTGTTGGTACTAATTTGTTTTTTATTTATCATACAGGAGCTGTTGCTGTCCGTAACATCCCATCTGTCACCCTGTGTGGTGATATGCTAGGGACTGTCAGTTGGTTGAAAATGTTCAAAGCAGGGCCACCACACTGGTGCCTGCACTTCGGCTACCACGAGAGATTGGAGCGCCCGAACTCGGTCGAGTGTCCTTACTTGGAGCTGGCGGACGCTCGCCCCACAAGGGGTCACAGCTCAAGATCGAAGAAGCCTCAAGTCCAGAAAACTGTGAGGGCAAACTTTTCGGAGTGAGAGTTGTGAACTCTTGGAACAATCTACCAGAAAATGTTGTGACGGCACCGAGTGTGAGCTTTTTCAAGACCAGACTTGACCAACATTGGAGTGGGTTCAGGTACATCCAGGAGCCGGTGCATGCCCAGTACTTGCCAGAGACGTGACCGATCGCCCAAGCGGCTAACAAGCCGATCAGTGGTGAAGAGGATAAAAGAAAAGTAAAAGAACATGTAGGTAATAAGAGCCAGTACAGCTGTAAGTATTGAGGAAGACTGGTTAATTTGTTACGCTTTAGATAGAATAGGTTTAATATTTGACTAGTATGTGTGTAAAATACTGGATCAAAGCAATAATTGTTTAAATAATAATGTACAGCCATAAAGTCGTCTAATATGTAATTATTTTGACTCTTCCAGGTAAAATGGGAAGAGACGTCGTTCGGTTCCTACTGTCGTTGACGACTGCGGCGTCGGCAATGCAGTGTTGCACCGGTGTGTTTTTCTATTTGTTACTCTGTTTAAAATCCCAGGTTACGTTTATGGAGATTATATATGGCAATTACTAAAGGCGTTCCCGAATTATACATTTAGGGTAAAAAAAGAATGTGCCACAATAAAATGGTAGCATTGTATACTAACGATGGTGTTACTTCGTAGTTGTAAGGTTTGAGAAGTTGATTTGTCGGTCTACCTAAATGAGTCATGATTCACACCCCTCGAGGAAAGCGTAAAAATATTGCCAAAAAAATTAAGACTTGCTCGGTTATATTGTGCTATAAAAGGTTAGAAAGAAGTTGGTATGTCACTCGGTAGAAATGAAAGCGGTATGTGTTTCCCACATAAGTGTTCTCGTATCTTACCCCACTTAACGGCCTCCCTTGACTTTACCTTAAAGATTTGTGAAGTTGTTTGTGTCATTGGTGTAAATTAGTTTGGAAAGGTTTAATAAGTATTGAGGGGGAGGGGAATGGTCGGTCCTCGGTGTCGTCCACGAACCCCGAGACTGTCGACGACATAAAATTGGGAAAGACTATTTGTCATTGAGCTGTAAATAGGTAGAGGTGGCAAATGTTGGTTCTGTAAAAGGTGGTGTGTTGTGAAGAAGTTTATTATCTCTAGTTTTGGTGGTTGTCGAATGATGGCGAGTGGTCTGTGCTAGAGTGAGTAGAGGTGACGTGTTGTAATTTGGAGTAAAAATGTTTTGGCCAAAGATAGTGTATTGTGGAGACTTTAATTTAGAGAATAGATGGATAAAGTTTTGATAGTTGAAAAAGTAAAAAATTGAGGAAAGTCTGGAAAATAGAATGTATAAGTTTAATTGTTGAAAAGTCCACGAAGGTAGGTTAATAAGGATAGGGTTGTAGTGAAGGTTTAATTGGGTAGTTAAGTGGCTTGATAATTAATGAATCAGAAATGTAAAATAATAGAGATTTTGAAATTGGTGTTTTTTGTAAGGTAAATTTGTCCCCGTTGAACGTGATGTTGTAAGTTTTGGTCCAAGAAAAATGTTGAATTATGCTCATAGTTGACTTATGGGGCATTGTTGTTATGGTCACAATGACTGCTGGTTTGTTTGAAACCTGATGATTCATATTATGCTCCACGCCCTCAAAACATGTGGATAACTGGTGAGTTATCCCTGGGAAGAAACCATGTTTCTCTGGCTTAGGTGCCGTCCATTTTCTCTGACTTCCTGAAACCAACCTCTATAAAGTAAATTTGAATGTAAGAGAGAACACCACTGTTTTGAGTCAACTTAGATATGTTTGATTACAGTTAAAGCATACAAGATCCTTTGTGAGTGATGTTGAAAGCTTCAGCTGTCTTTATTGTTAGTAACACTTGTCAAGTAAGTGAGAGTCGAGTCTGCCAGTACGAATGGCATCTCACGATGTCGTCCTTGGGGATAGCCACGAGTTTCCAATTGCTACTGAAGTTAGATTATTTTGATTCCCAATCCTCAGAGAATCTGATATTTGTAGTTTAGTTATTGTTACAGGTTGACAACCCTTTATCCGAAATTCCGAAAACCGAAAAGCTCTGAAAACCGAAAAAAAAAATTGTGGAGCAATTTTTTTAAGATTAGCCCAGGCACATGTCACTGACCCACATCAGGGCCTGGGGGGTGAAAATGTAATAGTAATATTTAATTATAATAATACAGGTAATAATAATAATAATACAGTAATAATAATAATTACCTGTATTCATAGTAAATAAAATAATAACAATAATACTGTAATAATGAAATAATAATAATAATAAAGAAATACAAGAATGAAAAAAAAGATCAAAAGTGAGAAACATGACCTAGACCTATGAATTATTATTATTATTATTATTATTATTATTATTATTATTATTATTATTATTATTATTATTATTATTATTATTATTATATTTTAGCCCCCAGGCCCCAATGTGGGTCAGTGACCTGTGCCCGGGTGGGCTGATCCCCCTAAAAAAAAAAAAAAAAACATTCTGAAATCCGAAAAATTCCAAAAACCGAAATGCATCTGGTCCCAAGGATTTCGGATAAGGGATTGTCAACCTGTAGTTGTCTATTTTAGAAAGTCATTAATCTCCGGAAAAGAACATGTCACACTCATATCTTGAAGATCTCCACGTATACCTATAAAGGCTCCTTGTCTAGTGCTGATGTTGAGAATGACTTTAACAGCGTGTGTATTTGATGCTCATTTTACTTTTTCTTGGCAATCTCTATCGCTGATTAGTTTATAAAAATAGACATAAGAAATTCACCTGAGCTATTGCATTGATTCTCATAGTTAAATGTACAGCGACCGAGTTGAATGTAATTTCTGTCATTGCGCGATTAACCTTTCTGGTGTCATGGTGACATGGCTAGTCTGTTAAAACGTAATAATTCATATTATGCTCCAACCCCACAAAACCTGTAAACCTTCTCCCAGTTGAAACATTCGTTCTCTTCAGGAGATCTGAGTCCTCCGTTTTCTATGTCGCATTACCGGAGAAACTTCACAGAGGGGAAATATAGGATAGTTATTGTATATAGGACTCGCCGTATTACTGCATAATACCAAAGACATGCATGACAATGTTTTAGTCAACACAAGGGAATTGAGAACTAATCATAATGGTTCTTCATTTATTAACTACGCTACTCAAATTGAACAGATACACTTCAAAACAATAAACCTAAATTCCTAGCTTGCTAACCAAGGGGTCCATTACTCACAATACATTTCGGGAAACGGATCAAACCTAGCAGGTACTGACGTTATAGCCGCCATATGAGGAGGTGACACCCAGGACACCCACACTTAACTCTTACCAAACACAGACTCAGCTTCTCAAACGGCATCAACCCACAAAGGACACCACAACTTTCATGAAGTCACTCCTCATAGGCTTTCTTATTGGTCAAAGACAGACCTAAGGCCTTCATACTATTGGCTTAATATTGGCGGGAAGTCTCGAGTGGTGGGAAACTCCTGACATTGTTACGAGATTGCGGCCGCATTACCGCTGGGAAGACAAAGTTGTGCGTGCCTAGGTGCCTAATTATCTACAAAACGAACCATTTGCACAAGAAATGATTGTCGTATCAGAACTCACCGATGATAATAAAGAAAGAAAATAAACGGTAAAACAAATAACTTGTCTGTGGGTCGGTTGTCAATATTAACCATAAATTAACTAAGGTTGCTCCTTCCCACGATTTGGTCTCCTAAATTATTAGCAGGTCTAGGTTAGGTTGGTGTTATGAGGTTTAATCATTTTGGTTAAATAAGTTAGGGTGCTTTAGGTGATCTATTGTTTGCTTAACTTTACTGCACTTTTAACTTGTTTGCCACCAATTGGTCTGTTATTTTAATAATTTTTAAATTAAATTATTTAAATAATCAACTGAGGGTGAGGCAAGTGATCATCTGGATTAAAGTTATTGTGTGTTATGTTTTAAATGCAGGAAAGTGGTTTTCTTACCGTAGAACTCAGATACCTTCACACTGGTTACTCACCCAGGAGATTATGGTGTATCACTACATAGAATTTCACTCTGCTTCCGGCATTCAATGCGTTGTGTACTAGATAAATGATGATTTAATGAATTCCTTTAATTTCCAACATCCATCAAAGTTATTGGTTATACTTTGTCATAACCAAATAGTCATTACCTTTGGTAATAATAATAATAGAGGGATCACAGATACGGGCAGATCATTGCTCTTACGTTTATTTGGCACAATTCCATACACTGGACTTATAATTTGCATGGATAGGTCAGTCACTCACATTCACGCCACAGTACCGTAAGTTATAAGGGAGATTTTGTCAACCTGGAGAATTAATCGTTTAGATCTATTAGGCCGGCCTGGAGTGCAAACAGGCCCTCACCATTGATCACTTCCATTACAGGATGTGTTAACACGTCGCTGGACTTAACAACAATCTCGGGGATTTGCACACACAGACTCGTAGCACTGGTAGGACTGTATGGTCCCTGTTCTAAATCCGCGGAGCAGGAGGTCTTCTATAACCCAAGGTCTAAAGCCTACTGGCTAAAATGTGGTTTTGAGGCGTGAGATGACCCCTGGCCAGGTACCTTATCTCTACCTAAACAAACATTTGGGATGGGTTGTGCGGGAGGCCCAGCGCAACCCATGACATTGTGGTAAGTACAGGTAGATGTTAATACCCCTGTTTTTAAATACAGTTCTGTACAGATATTTGTATTTATTTGTGAACCATTACAGTAGAGTACAGTACCATAACATGTAATAAACAGCAACCCTAAAAGTCATGAAGAACACTTGAGGGTTTGTTCCTACTGCTGTATGTCCAATAATGGCATACTAATTATTTAGGGTCTTTGAATAAAAATAATTACTCTGTAGGTAGTTATAAAAAGTAATACTTTACTGATTTTTTTTATTTTTTTATCGTTTAGTGAAAATTTTGTATAAATGTGTACTTACAGGCAGTGGCCTTCATCTTAATTGGTGTTGCTGCAGCAGCAAAAGCAACATCATTCGTCACCTCCCTCTCTCTTGTGTCTGTCATCATCGCCTGCGGAGTCTTCCCGTCGCTCGTATCCATAGTGGGTCTTGTGGCAAACGTCATCAGGTAAATTGCCGTTGTACATTATTGACTCGTGTTATACACAAGTTATTATCTCAAGTTATGGAAAATTAAAACTGAATAATTACTGAACATTAAAACTTTTGTCTTGAGGAATATATAAAATTTGTGATAGCTGCAGTAATTAACATTCTTTGCTCATTCAAATGCATTCCAGTAAGTGTGTTTTTGTAGTGTTATTTGACCTTTGTCCCTCATAATATTTGTTAGAATGAGTTTCTTAAAGAAAAATTTAATGGGAAATTATTGATTAGTCTGCAGGTGCATTAATGGTGAGTATTTGGGGAGCCCTTAACGTGAGTGGACTAAGTGTGCAGTATGACTTTCTTACTCATAGAGCAAAAACTGGATTGTTTTGTAATGGACCAATGTACAGCTATTGCTCCATTGAAACTTACCGGTAACTTTTACTTTTATCCTCTTCGCCACTGATCGGATTGTTAGCCGCTTGGGCGATCGGTCACGTCTCTGATTACTTTTCCTTTTCATTTTTCTTCTTCACCAAAAGATCGGCTCGCTAGCGGCCCGGGCGATCGGTCACGTCTCTGTCACGCACTGTTGGCAAATACTGGGCATGCACCGGCTCCTGTGTTGGTCAAGTCTTGTCTTGAAAGAACTCACACTCGGTGCCGTCACAACACTCTCTGGTAGATTGTTCCAAGAGTTTACAACCCTCACTCCGAAAAAGTTTGCCCTCACGGTTTTCTGGACTTGCGGCTTCTTCAATCTTGAGCTGTGACCCCTTGTGGGGCGAGCGTCTGCCAGCTCCAAGTAAGGACACTCAACTGAGTAGTGCCCCCTGAGATGCTTATACACCTCAACTAGGTCCCCCCTTGCCCGTCTGTAGTATAAGCTTGGCAAGTTCAGGCGCTCCAATCTCTCAGGGTATCTGAGGTGCCGAAGTGCAGGCACCAGTCTGGTGGCCCTCCTTTGAACATTTTCAACCAACTGACAGTCCCTAGCATATCTCGGGGACCAGATTGGGTGACAGTATTCCAGATGGGGAAGCACTTTACTCCTGAAGATCGTTACGAAGGACGGACCGTCTAGATATATGAACGACCTTCTTATAAGACCCAATAATTTATTTGCCTGATTTACCTTCTTCTCACAATGGCCCGAGAACTTCAGCTCATTGTCAACATACACACCTAGGTCCTTGTCACACACAGTCTCAACTAGTGCAGTTTCTTCATCCCGTTGGGACATATGATAACCCTCCTTACCGTTGGTACGCCCCAGGTGCATCCTCTTACACTTCGTGACATCGAATCTCAGCAGCCATTTCTTCAACCATTCCTGGAGCCCACAGAGGTCCTTCTGCAGTTCGTTCTTCACAGTCCGCTTGGTTCTTAATTTCCCGAAATAACTTGGCGTCATCGGCAAACATTTGTATGGAGGAGTGTACAACGTCAGGCATGTCATTTATAAAACAAACAAACAGCAGCGGGCCCAGTACACTGCCCTGTGGTACCCCACTTGTGACAGGTACAGATGACGATTTCGTACCATTAATCACCACACACTGCTTGTGGTCATGTAGAAAGTCTTCTATCCATGCTGGGACATTTCCCCGAATTCCGTACCCTTCCAGTTTTATTTTCAGCCTTTCGTGGGTTACACTGTCGAAAGCCTTGGCAAAATCTAGGTATATATTGTCGATATTACCACCCCGTTCCAGAATATGGGTCCAAATATCCAATACCTTGAGCAATTGTGTTATGCAGGAGCGCCCCGGCATAAAACCGTGTTGGCAATCTTTTACAAGGTTGTTTCGTATTAGATGTTCCATTGCGGCATCTCTGATAATACTCTCAAGTACTGAATAACTATTAATTTATGGACATATTTTTATCATAAACTGTTGTGTATATTAAATGTTTTTGTATGTTTGTTCCAGATGAGTTAACGACTAAACCCTTGAGAAATTAACAACTGGATCATGGAGACTCTGCTGCTACAAGTATGTCTTTATGTCTGTCTAACTGTCTATCTTTATCTATCTGTGTTTCTATATCTTTCTATCAGTCTTTCAGTACCTGTATGTCAGTCAGTCTGTCTGTTTGGTATCTATATCATCTGTCAGACTGTCTTTATATATACAAGTATCTGTCTTATCTATATCTATACTATCAGTAAGAAAGATATTGACAGTGAGTGAGGAAGGTGGGTACACAAGAGGTACAGTGAGTGAGGAAGGTGGGTACACAAGAGGTACAGTGAGTGAGGAAGGTGGGTACACAAGAGGCACAGTGAGTGAGGAAGGTGGGTACACAAGAGGCACAGTGAGTGAGGAAGGTGGGTACACAAGATGTACAGTGGAGTGGATGGCAGACTGCAGGATGTTGCTGACTGTAAGTGTTATGTATGCGCAGGTAAATATGTGTCCACGACAAGACTGAAGAAACTCAACACTGAAGATTATCCGTGGACTGTGTGGATGAGTTCTGCTGCCTGGATGACATGATCAGTGCTGGAGGGGGTGCTGAAGGCTGCTGTGTTGTGAGTCATGGAATGGGTTCTGCTGCCTGAGTGACATAATCAGTGCTGGATAGGGTGCTGAAGGTTGCTGTGTTATGAGTCATGGATGAGTTCTGCTGCCTGGGTGCCATGATCAGTGCTGGAGGGGGTGCTGAAGACTGCTGTGTTGTGAGTCATGGAAGAGTTCTGCTGCCTGGATGACATAATCAGTGCTGGATGGGGTGCTGAAGGTTGCTGTGTTGTGAGTCATGGAAGAGTTCTGCTGCCTGGATGACATAATCAGTGCTGGATGGGGTGTTGAAGGTTGCTGTGTTGTGAGTCATGGATGAGTTCTGCTGCCTGGGTGACATAATCAGTGCTGGATGGGGTGCTGTTCATTTTCAAGTCATAAATGGCTGGAGGAAGTTTAGGGAATTCTTGTCTTTATTGTCAGCATGGGGACTTTCCCATCACATGAAAGGAAGAATGTATACAACTGGTGTGAGAAGTTCGGTGTTATATATCCGTGAAACATGGGCAGTTAAAGAGGATGACATATGCAGTCTTGAGTGAACTGAAATGAGAATGGTGAGGTGGATGTGTACTGTGACACTGAAAGATGAGAATCACCGTTCAGAGCTAAGAGGGCGGCTGGGTATTGAGAGTATCAGCCAAGATTTACGTATAAGTAGACCGAGATCGGGAGTGTGGGGAGAATGGATGAGACCAGCTGGGTTAAGTGGTGCATGAGTCTAAATGTGGTGAGGAGGAGAGCCAGTGGTAGGTGGCCAAGATTGACATGGGGAGAAATTGTAAGAAATGATCTTAGAACCTGACAAGACAGACTGCAAGAGATGGTGTGGAAAATGGCTGTATGATTTGGGTGGTGATGATGATTTTGTTCTATCTTTCTATCTAAGTTTCAGGCTATCTATCTATCTATCTATCTATACTACTGTACTGTATTTCTCACCATATTAAAGGCAACCACAGATATAGATATAGCATGAAAGGTTTATAGTCTCAAGAAAGTTCACCTAAACTAAACTTTCATGAAAGGAACAAATATTTAAATGAGAAAAATTGCAGTGTGTTCCATAACCTGTACAGTACAGTTGACCCTCGCCAATGTGAGGAATGGATAAAACTAATGATAATAAATAAGAGGAAGGACAAAATACTGCATGCCATTTGACAACTGTTTCACTAAAGATATGGGAGACAGGGATGTGCTCCCCCCTCGTGGGCTGACTCCTGCCGACGTAACAAAAGTTTATTGTGTGTTCTTTTTTACCTACAGTTATATATGATATAGGGTGAATTATAGAGACATTTGTTAGGTTAAAAATATGTCTTATATGGTGGGAAATATGGTATATCTCTCTACATCTTTCTGTCCATCTGTCTACAGTATATCTGTCTTATATGTACTGTAGACAGAACTACTGTACTAACCATGATAGACAGTTGACAATGCATGTGATTAATACCTGGAATACAAATATTTGCAGGAAAATGTCCAATGTATTCAGCACCTAGACCACTTTAGTGATATAGAACCATGAAAATATTGTTTATTGTTTTTATACCAAAACACTGGTGATTGTCTCTCAGATACATCAGGAGTTGTATATCTTTAGTGGTGCATTACTGTGTCCTGGGTTCATTGCCCAGCCTGGGACAGATGTTACCCTTACTAGCAAACATGGCAGGTTTTCTGCAGGTACAATACTACAGTTTCCTCCCATACTGTACAGTTTTAACAGACCAACTGCCCAAACGGCTCATTACTGGTAATTACGACATTTATGCCACTGATGAATGAGTCTTGATCACACACAACTATAAGGCGGCCTTCTCTTGCCACTCCATCTCTCCTCTGGCCTTTATTGTGTAAAAGCCAAGAATTATTATTGTGTGAGGATGTAGTGGATCTCTGAGGTGACAATGATAAATATTTTGGCGTTAAGTCGGTGGTGTGGTACTGTGCAGGTCTGACCCACCTGTTACAAACTACTGCAGGGAGTGAAGACCTTCCTTAAAAGGTTTAACTTGGCAGGATTCAGAAGGTCACAACACAGACGTCCTCAACGGCACTTGATGGTTTATAACAGCCATTTATTATTACTTACTTTTGACCTTGATGATGTGGTTCAGCCATTATCAGATGCAGGTCAGGAACACAAAGGACTGTTCCTTTATAATGCTCACTGAGTAAATGAGGATAGTTGCTTCAAGGCTCCACTGGGCAGATTGTTACCAGGTTTTATTTTCAATTCACAATTATTACATGGAATTATACATTTTCCACAATATATACTGAACTGTATACCTGTGTTGTCTATATACATGGTGAACTGTAAACCTGGGTTGTCTATATTGTTTTAGCTGTGGTAAGATACCAAACTATCTCACTTGTTAACACTTGCCTCAACGAGTGTAGGTTAGTCGCTGGTACCTTTGATGCAGCTGAGTGAGATATATGGTCATCTCACGTCATGTCACCTTTGATACAGCTGAGTGAGATATAGGGTCATCTCACGTCATGTCACCTTTGATACAGTCGTAGATAGTTTAAATCGTCACAGCTGTCCTGAGTTGTACTTGTAATTATCTTAGCTTGTAAGTTAAGCAAGACACACAGGTAATGTTCTCTTCACTCGTTGTTCCTTGGTTTAATGTAAACACACATGCTGATTTAATAGTTATATTGGGTAGTAATGTCTGCACAATTATTTGGTATTGACAGACTAATGAGCATTAGCTATTTGCTTGTAATTAGCTGATATAATTAGAGAGAGGTACAGCCCGGAGAGCTGGTCTCACTTTAGGGCATCGTGTCGGGCTGAACTCTCTTAACATAAGAACATAAGAATGGAGGAAACTGCAGCAGGCCTATTGGCCCATACTGGGCAGTCCCGTTTACACCCAACCCCTATTGCTCATATGAGCATCCAACCTATGTTTGAAGCAATTCAGCGTATTCGAGTTAATGATGATATTTGGTAACTTGTTCCATTCATCCACTACTCTGTTTCCAAACCAGTGTTTACCTATTTCACGCCTAAATCTAAATTTGTCTAATTTAAAACCATTGTTACGAAGTTCTCCTGGTTGGATAATTTGTGTACCTTTGTATGTCCCCTTTGTTTAGCCCTGCCTTCCACTTATACACCTCTATCAGGTCGCCCCTCGCTCTACGTCTCTCAAGGAGTGCAAATTAAGATGCTTTAACCTGTCTCTATACTCAAGGTTCCTAATGCCCGGGATTAGTCTTGTCATTCTCCTCTGAATTCTTTCCAAGGATTCTATATCCATTCTGTAATACGGTGACCAGAACTGAACTGTGTAATCCAGGTGTGGTCTCACAAGAGCAAGATACAGTTTTAGGATGACCTCGCTAGTCTTGTAACTAACACTCCTTTGTATGAACCCAAGTACTTTATTAGCCTTGTTACGAGCAAAAACACATTGTTTACTTGGCTTAAGGTTCCGACTTATCATTACTCCTAAATCTCTCTCGCAGTCGGATTTCTCTATGGCATCGTTGTTCATCTGGTATTTGGTTTCCCTGTTTACATCTCCTATACTGAGTACTTTACATTTGTCGACGTTGAATTTCATCTGCCATTTTTCAGACCATTCGAAAAATTTGTTTAGATCTTCCTGTAGTTTTGCCGAGTCCTCGTCAGATTTGATAACACGTCCTATTTTAGTGTCATCAGCAAATTTACTTATGTTGCTGTCTATGCCGATATCTATGTCGTTTATGTATATAATAAACAATAATGGTCCAAGTACTGAGCCTGGGGAACTCCACTTGTGACGTTGCTCCAATGGGACTTAGTGCCGTTAATGCTCACTCGCTGTTTCCTGTCCTGTAACCACGCCCTAATCCATTTAAGGATGTCACCTTTGATGCCATGAGCTTCTACCTTTCTAATTAGTCTTTCGTGGGGGAATCTGTCGAAGGCTTTACTAAAGTCGAGATATACCACATCATAATTGTGCCCCTCGTCCACCGATTCGAAAACTGATGAAAAGAATGTTAATAGATTAGTTAGGCAAGAACATCCGCTTGTGAAGCCATGCTGGGAATAATTGATCAATCCGTGCTTCTCCAGGTGATTTCGAATAGAGTTTGAAATGATTGCTTCCAGTAATTTGCCTACTATTGATGTTAGACTGATTGGGCGGTAGTTAGAGGATAGTGATCTATCCCCCTTCTTGAAAATCGGTATTACATTCGCTATCCTCCAGGATTCTGGTACTACACCTGTTTTTAAGGACATGTTAAACAACTTTGCTAAGGGCATACTAAGCTCTTCCTTACATTCCTTTAATACTCTGGCAAATATCTCATCGGGACCAGGTGACTTATTAGGCTTTAATTTGTCTATTTGCTTACTAACATCGTTACTAGTCACTACTATCTCACTTAATTTGTTTTCTTCATTATCTCTGAATAGAGTCGGTGCCTCGGGTATCATGTTTAAATTTTCGGTGGTGAAAACTGTTGAAAAATATTTATTCAAATTATTGCTCATTTCTCCATCGTTATCAGTGAGCTCGCCGGAGTCTGACCGTATTGGTCCA